TTCAAAGACGCGATCACCATTCAAATAAAAATTTCAACAAATCAACCAGTGTCATAATGGTCTCAAGAGTTCCTGGGTATTGGTTGCAATATGGCTGCTTTTAAGTATTATGCATAATACAGTTTACTAGTATGGAATGCTTGTTCTTCAATTCAAGATAAATGCAATCAGCTATAAGAGATGTTACCTGTAGGTATGTCATTTTTCACAGCATTACTTATTGGCAACTAAATCATCTAACACTGCCCAAGAGTTTGCTGAAAAAACAAAGCAAGATTTGATTGATGAGTTCTTCTTGAGTGGCGCTAATAGTGTCCCTGAGCTGGAAGGAGGATTATACTTAAAAGCAGAAGGCAAGAAATCATGGAAGAAACATTTCTGTATGCTAAGAGGATCTGGTATTTATTATTGTCCAAAAGGAAAATCAAAGGTATAATGATTATTACTGTGATCCATAGTTTATCAACCAGCTATTAAAAGCTTGTGTGGTTAATAAATGGCGCCCTCAAGCATTAGTTTGGTGAAAGCAGATTAGTTATTCAAGAATGAATGTTTATTTTGTGTACATGTATGGGTGAATGATTTCAGTGAAATTCAGTACAAACCGTGATTTTGAATAACTGCAGCCAAGTTAGTTTTGCTGGAAATCATTATATATTATTTATCTAGTTTGCAAAACTAGCAGCAGCAGTACATAGGATTACATGTATGTCATTCACCGTGGAATTCCTTGCAATAGTTAAAATGGTATAGTACGATTTGTGATATTCCCAAAGTGTTTGATGCAATGTTATGTTTTTGTCTGTAGTCATTGAAGGACCTTGTATGTTACGTACAGTTTGAACACATTGATGTTTACAATGGTGTTGGATGGAAGAAGAAATATAAATGTCCCTCTGACTTTTGCTTTGCACTAAAGGTATAGATACGTATATATTATTGTCACTTTCTCTTAAAAATGAGTTTATTGTCTAAATTGACTGCCGATTAAGTTCACTTAATGTTGTTTTTTTCTGATTCAAATAAATCACCTCTTGAACACGCACTCAAAACTTATTATTGTTACTGTAAAATACTTTTTTTTCGCTATAGGGATAATTCAATGAAAATCCAGAAATATACCTTTTCTCCTATATTTTATACATTACACTCAAAAATCAGTGAAAATGAACTCCATAAAAAACACCCAAAAAGTCTTTTCAGCGAAAAAAAACACCCAAAAAGCAAAAATTCAAGCTAAATACAAATTTTACAGTACATTTCTTGTGTGTTGTATACATCTGTGCTAATTAAATAGTGACATAACTGTACCGCTTATGACCTCTTGTTGGTACATACCAATTTTCCTTTATTACTAAAATTTGTTAAATGACAGAGGCTTATGTATTGTCAAAGTAAGTGATATTTCAATTAAATCATATTATACAATAAATGCAATTTTTGATTTATGTGCACTGTTTGTTCAGAGATGCACTTTTAATTAATAAAGCAAATATAGTATTGACAATGTTGTCTTATTCATATTGCTAGCATCCTCAAATCATGCAGAAATCCAAGTACATTAAATATTTGTGTGCAGAAGATTACAGAACAACACAGAAATGGATAACAGCTATAAGAATAGCCAAGGTATGTCTGCCATATAAACTAATAGTTTCTCTATTTTTGGATTATTGTTCAAAATAATTTTTGCAACTATTTTGTGGATGCACCCTGAAGTTTATATTAGCGCACCAAGAATTAAAATCAGAATCAAGACAGAAAAATTGAAAAAATTTTTGGGAATTTCGCAAGGTACAAAAAATTGTGAAATATTGAATTAATTGGAGGTTCTTTAAAAATCTGTATGGTCAAAAACATAATTTTTCATATTATTGTTTGACACTGTAGACCAAATTGGAATATGGCTTATCATAAACTTATAATTATGAAATCGTTTCAAGGACACAACAACGCTCGTTGGATGAAAAATCGAAACCACTTTTTAGTCCCCGTTCGGACGTAGTTCGAAAACGGGGACTTATGTTTTGCACTGTGTGCGTGCGTGCGTCTGTGATCACCTGTATCTCGAACATGCATGGACCGATTAAGTTCAAACTTCACTCATACATCACACATTATATGGGACATATGCACATGCATTGTTTTCATGATCCCATTAACGATAACCGAATAGCGGCCATTTTAAGGCCGAAAATGCGTCAAAATCGCAGATTTTCACCATTCCGGACCTGGATCTCAGTTATGCATGGACGGATTTTGTTCAAATTTGGTACATACATTAAACATAATAGGACCTTGATGCACGTCATATTTTTTTTTTCGGATCAAGTTCGAAATGGCCGACTGGCGGCCATTTTGTTTTAAAGAATTCAGTTCTGGATCCGTATCCGAGACATGTCTGGATTGATCAAGTTCAAACTTCACACACACAAGGTACATCATGTCACAAATATGTATGTGCATTTGTTTCATGATCTCATTAACGATAGCCAAATGGCGGCTGCTTTAAGGCCGAAAATGCATTGAAATCGCACATTTTCACCATTCCGGACCCAGATCTCAGTTATGCATGGACGGATTTCGTTCAAATTTGGTACATACATTAAACATAATAGGACCTTGATGCACGTCATTTTTCCGGATCAAGTTCGAAATGGCCGACTGGCGGCCATTTTGTTTTTAAGAATTCAGTTCTGGATCCGTATCCAAGACATGTCTGGATTGATCAAGTTCAAACTTCACACACACATGGTACATCATGTCACAAATAGATATGTGCATTTGTTTCATGATCCGCTTAACAATAGCTGAATGATGGCTATTTTAAGGCCGAAAATGCATTAAAATCACGTATTTTCACAATTTCGGAACCAGATCTCAGTCATGCATGGATGGATTTTGTTCAGATTTAGCACAATGTGTTGTACATATGCAGGTGCATTTCGGTCATGATCTGCTTTGAATGTATATGTCACTCAAATATGAACGGAACAGGGACGTGTCATTGACAATCACTTGTAATTGTTAGTATACATAGCAAAACAACCAATGCACTGCAAATTTCATTGTTTCATCAAATGAATACTCAGATGTGAGCCACAAGAACAGTGACATTTTGTCACAGTGACATGATTTTAACCTTGCAAACACAATCTAATGGTTTACGGCCAGTTGTATAATAATGTATACATTTTTTCTCCATAGTACGGAAAACAACTACACATGAGTTATAAGTTGACTCAGAAAGAAATGAGAGACAATGGCAGTAATCTGAGCAGTCTACGAAGCAGCGATACGAGTTCCATGACGAGTATGCAGTCAAGTAGCAGTACGCAGAGTTCACAAGGTACCGCATCAATGGCAAGTCCTGCCAGCTCTCAAAGCTCATCGTCGGCTATCCCACAATCCTCTGTTACAAGATCCAAGTCTGATAAGTCTAATCTCATGACTAATACTAGTAGTAGAAACACACAAGGTAAGAACTAACAAACTTACAAACATCTCCCTGATAATGACGTAATGTGATTAATTATTCATGATCTTCATCAACATTGTTTCTCCTTTGCATTTCATGTTGTAAACATTTCTGTATTTCAACATAGATGGCATAGTACGATTTATGTCAAATGTTCTGATCAGTACTATGTACTCATTTACATTTGTATAACTTTGTTAGGATGGAGTTCAAAAATGGTGATTTATAGACTTGCATACACTCTCTTGTTTGTTTTGTGTGTTTTTTCAATAAATTATAATATTATATGAGTGTATAAATGGTGAAAATCCAAAACAAGGGTTCCTTTGCATTTCAGTGACATCTCAAATTAGCCTAATTTACATATCACACGATATTAAGGGCGGTGCCATGAACGGCGGGTAATTAATTGCACACAAAGACAAGCATCAGAACTGTCATATCACTGGGAATGCATTTGCCTTGTACAATTTGATCTTAACTCTAATTGCTGGAATATTAATGGGCCTGTCAATCATCTCATCATGAACGTCAATCATCTCACACTGAACCCCAGACTAGTGACAATCATTACCAGTATCTCAAGTGGTTCTACAGTTTCTTGAACATTTCTGGACATGCTTCCTACATTATGTCACACATATGCACATGAACTTGTTTCCTCAAAGACACTAGAAAATACATTTATTTTCCAGTGTTTTTGGTTTCATGATCCAATTCAAGATGGCCAATTTTATACCCATGCTAGACATCACCTGGCAAGCTCTGATTCAAAATGGCCGACTAGTTTTAGTTTTGTTTACACAGCTGGGACTGTTTTGTGTTACAAAAATGAAGAAAGACTAATTTCGGGGAAGTTTGATGTAATGCAGTGAAAAAAAGAATGTTTTCTCAGTTTATATTTTGTACATGACATACCTCAACAATTTTGAGTTTTTCAGTTAACAAGTTTTCACATTGTGTAGTTTATAGAAACTTTTGTCATTACCGGTACTTAAATGACAGATGTACCATACCAAAATGTTAACATTTTGAGTAATGTTGAAATAATTAGTCGAGACAAATTTTGACATTTACCCTTTGAGTACCACAATCAAGTTCAGTCACAATTCAAAAAATAGTTTTATATGTGAAATGTTGTGAACATTTAAAAAATTGTTGATCAAAGACTAGCAGCAATATCACACTTCATCTATTTGCTTCAAATTAAGTTTGAATTCAGTTTAAATTACAGAAAATGTACCAAAGTTTATTCACATTTAAGCAGGAAAAAAATTGGCACTCAAACTATTAACTGTTATTTAATATTTCACCATTAGCTTTCAACTTTATCGTTGCTTTCATATGAAATGGTTACTTATATTTATAGCACAAAATTATTTTTATTTTTAGTGAACAGTGGTTGTTAACATTGGTAGTGATAGTTTGTTTGAAGAGTTATTTATTACAGTTAAGAAACATGAATTATTCTGAGTTTTTGGTTTGTTAATAAACTTTGTAGTTTTCTTTTGTGATTGTTGCCTGTATTTATTTATTGTTTTGTATCAACCTAATCACTGTACATATCACCAACATGTGTTCCTCCCCACACCATTATAGAGACAAATAGCATCAACATTAATTCTTCCACTTCCTGAAATAACAGATCATAAAAAAATTGAGAATGAACCCAACTAATGGGAAAAAAGATATGAAAAAGGACAACAAATTATTAATATTTATCTGAGCAAAGTACCTGAAAGGATTTTCGCGGAAACATTGACTTTCTGGTGGCCATTTTGAATTGAAAAACTAGAAAGTCCATCTTTAAAATCCACTAACACCGAGAAGTCTGATCAATCTAATTTTTTACGTTTGATTTCTTTATTAAAGCTGTAATTCTGAATAGGGAATTCACCTTGTATGTTCCTTTGGTGATGTTTCCGCACATTTCATATTGATATCTATTACTTTCAGTATTTCTGAATGTTTAGGTGGATATATTTGATGAAACTCCTTGATACAGATTAGTCTCTTATTTACACAATACATGTATGAGTGATGAATAATTTTGAATTCTACCAAGTTTTAGAAATCTCTTACAGAATTGTTTGTATGCATGCTATTTTGGACTGTAATTCATTCTTTACACTTATAGAAATGTCCAGCAGTGGCAGCATTAGTGGTAGAAGTGGAACATTTTCTCATAAAGTTGGAGATGTTTTTGCCAATGCATGGAAAATAGGAAGTGAAATGCAACAACAGCAAAAGGTGTGTCTTTCATTGGAGCGAGGTGATCATAGGGACAGGTCGGGCAATAAACAGACAAATTAGTTATAGACAGAATGCAATGACTCAGTATTTGACTACTTAACATAACAGTGTATGTCATATTATCACCCATAATGTGCACCAAATTTTGATTGAGATTTGTGTTATGTGTAATTATTATGCAAATCTGCAAAATTAATATGCATGGTTTCAACCGAAAACTGATATTTTCAGAAGAAAATCAATTTAATGAAATTCTATGAGTGGTTCTTAACATAATGGAAAAATTACAAACCTAAAAGTGGATTATTGAACAATCAGTGAATTTGCTGATTAATATGTCTGGATTTCTTGTGTCTGGAAATTATACTAAACCACCAAATTTCAATAAAGTTCTTTAGATATCGTTTGAACTGACACAAACATACATTGTATACACAGCCTTTCATTTTCTGTGAATAAATAACAAATTCATATTTTCTAATTGAAACGCCACAGTCGTTGCACTGCAACATGTTCAATGTGAGTCCCACGAGACAAACACACAATGCATATAAAATACAGTTGGTTTTTGAATTTTGAACATGTTGCATGGCATCAGTGGCTCTTCAAGTTGAGTTCCTAACATTCATAACTCATTGCTAACCATCATACTATCCAACTTTTGTTTTTGCATGCAGCAAGAAGACCGCATGTCTGTATCATCAACATTAACTGTGGATAGTTTTTCTTCTGAATCTCAGAGTCAGGTAGGAGCGCCCTCTAGTGATGATAAGTGAAAAATGCATGTTATTGGTCAAGTCTCTTATTTCTTGTTGAGGTCAGTATTTTTTTTTAGATTCTATAACAGTTTTTTTTTATTACCAGTAATAATTATTAATTTTTGTTAATTAGCCGTAATTTACACCATCATTACTGACCTCATTATTTTTTTCTTCTCCATGTTATTAATGATCACCCAAAATATAAAAAGTTCACCTCTAGATTTTACTTTATTTTGTTCAAATTATCCAAGTTTTCATTCAATGTCGTTATGACTTTAAATTACAATGATCTATTTAGTAATTCAGATGATTTTAAGGTTTTTAATTTCTGATTGGCAGCTTGTGAATCAGTCACAGAATAATCAAACAAATTTTGTCTGTAATTAGAACATGATTACAACTAGGCTACAACTGCATGCAATGTGACATTTTCACATTCAAAGTCTGAACTCGGAGAGTTTTTATTATGCATCCTTTGATAATAGAATCATTAACATTATCATTTCATGATTACGCCATCAATTTGCCACTTATATAAAAACTAAACATTCCACACATTATCATTTCATGATTACGCCATCAATTTGCCACTTATATAAAAACTAAACATTCCACACATTATCATTTCATGATTACGCCATCAATTTCCCACTTGTATAAAAACTAAACATTCCACGCATTATCATTTCATGATTACGCCATCAATTTCCCACTTATATAAAAACTAAACATTCCACACATTATCATTTCATGATTACGCCATCAATTTCCCACTTGTATAAAAACTAAATATTCCACACATTATCATTTCATGATTACGCCATCAATTTCCCACTTATATAAAAACTAAACATTCCACACATTAACATTTCATGATTATGCCATCAATTTCCCACTTGTATAAAAACTAAACATTCCACACATTATCATTTCATGATTACGCCATCAATTTCCCACTTATATAAAAACTAAACATTCCACACATTCATAACTCAATTATTATTCAGTTTCTGCTCCAGGATTTGAAAAAAGGTGAAATTTCACACATCAGTAAAAAAAAAATTGTTAAATTGATGAAAAACTGAAAGATAATGGCTGCCATGTGACCCCCCCTCGAAATAATGTTCTATTCTGTGTAGCCATTGTGTTCACTGTTCCAAAATCAGGGTTACATCACAAAAAATTATAATCGCACTCTCATCAAGAAATAGTGCTGGAAATTCACAGAAATCAGCATTACCGTAATTCCTGGTTGTTTACAGACAAGATTTTAATAGTTATGTTTTCATTTTTAGAGTTCTAAAAGCAGTGTTGAATTAACAAGTGGAACTCCTCAAACTAAACATCCAGTCATTGGTGTACCTTTACCAGGGATACTTAAACCTTCGCCTACCCATCATGCAGTGGAACCACCCAAACATGCAAACGTTGATATGGACATACAGTCACAGTTATTACAGTTAGAACTTGATTTAGAGAAACAAAAAACATACAATCCAACCCATCAGCAAATTTCACCGTGGTCATCGCCTGTTGCATCGAAAAGTGGAACGGATGAAGTAGATGGCAATGCCAATGCCATCACTAAAGTTCATGTAACTGCCAAAGATACAGAGGCTGTTTCTGTTATTGTAAAACCTCCAACCGGATTAACTAAGCATGAATCACTAAAAAAGAGCAAGCCACCGCCACCTCCAAAAAGGAGTGCTGATACGGTCACAACACTGTCACGAAGTGTGTCTGTGGGTAGTGCTGCCAGAGGGGGTATAAGTCCATTAAGAGACAGCCAAAAGCATGTTCAGTTTAAGGAGAGCCCTGACATTAGCTCATCAGCTCCAGCGAGGCCAAGCTCAGATGAAAGGTTTCCACCACCGCCATTCCCTGTCTACCAAAGATATTCAGCTTGTAGCACGCCAACAACCCCCAGTTTTCCTGCCCCTCCTTCCCCCTTAACTCCAGGCTTTCAGGCTGGCCTAACATCACCACCGACACCAAACTATCCTGCCCCACCACCATGGATACCAGCAGATAATGAGTCAAGGCCTAGAGCAGCAACCAGTACAGATAAAGTCAGTAATCTGGCAATGAATGCAGGATTTCTCGCTGATTTACAGAAAGCGATCCGAGGACCACCACAAAATCCACAACAGGAGACTGGAGAAAAGAAAGCGCCTCCACCACCACCTAAAAGAAGTGGTGAATCTGCTACAAGTAGATCAAGCAAAAAACATCCTCCTCCTCCTCCTCAAAGGTTTACATAAATTAAACATTCCGTTTTTATACTATAAATTTTACCATTACATGTACTCCTTATAGATTTCAAAGTGTAAGTTACAACACAGAGTGCCATATACAAATTATAAAGTCCTAAGATATTTGTGAACAGACTCTTATTTGTGAATGGTTGTCAAGATCTCAGGAATGAGAAAACCACAAGATTTGTTTTTGCTCCCCAATAATCTTCCAATCTTGTCGTATTCACTGACCTGTATAACTATTTGGATCAGTGGACATGATGAAGGAAAAAAATAGAACACTATTTGCGGCAGCAAAAAACAAATTTTGTGGTTCTCCCACCCTCAACGAGAACTCAACGGCCATTTTTATCTGTCTATTGTACTGGTAAACCCAGATTTTTGAAATAGACACACAAACATGGCCAATCAAATCAATCATTGCTTTATTCAGTTAAATATTTATACAAGTTTGTACAACGACATCAGCTGTTATAATATATGTTTATGTATTTCATGGACCAGAGATGGTGGCACCGACTGAACCTAATCCATTCTTGTTTGTATTGACTAAATAGGAGAACAGCAACATACAACAGTGTTATTTTCACTTAGTGGAACATACAACAGTGCTATTTTCACTTAGTGGAACATTAAAATGCATTCGCTATTTGATATACTAGTATATGAATTCATTGTCTACAGATAATTCACACTACAACATGCACAAATTGGACATACAATGAAATGGCAGACATTACAGCGAGCACAAAGTTTTCTTTGATGTTTTTTTTCTTCCACAGTTGCATTCTCTGTACTCCTAGTGTCTAATATTTGACAACCATATTTTTTTTTGCCAAAATTTTGGTGCTTTTCAGTTATTTGTCAATGATTTCTTTGTTGATTTTGGATCAAAGTGACATCTTACGATAGGTCAATAACAACATTTTTGAAAAAATGTGTAAACAATTTATTTTGTGAAAAGTGACAAAAATGAAATGTTTGTTCTTGCACATTTGGTATAAATAAAAAGTAGGTTCATGTAAATACTGTAAAACCATTTATTTTCACTGACATTCAATTTCACTATTTTGATGTTTTGAGCATAATCACTTTGTACGTAGATTTAATTTAGTGAATTTTACTTATCAGTAAAAATAGCAAAATTAAAACCCAGAGAATAATTAATGCATTTACAGTAAAAACAAATTTGAAAGATTTGCATTATATATATTTTTCTGATTGAATCAAGAAGAGAATGTAAAACCAATGAAAAACATTTTCCTGTTAAAAGTGTATTTTTTTGTTTCCAATCTTGCCAACGTAAATTACCATGGTAACAAAATTTTTACTAGTTATAATCGTATCATTGAGATTTAAGGAAATATTAATAATAATTTTAATAATATTGTTAATTATGCGTATCAGAAAGCTGTGAACATTTTTGTTTTGAAAATTTATAAAACATTTACCCAAGGAATTCCTAAAGGTCTTTGTGTCTTCCCTTCAATCTACTTATGTGGAATTCAAATTTATTCAAATGATTATAATCGATTTGAGTTAAAGTGGATTTATCAAGTTGTTTACAATTGTCATTTGAAATTTATAAAACATTTGTTTCATATAATAAAACCTTTCACAGCTTTCTGAATGTAGTGTATCTAACCTATTTATTCCAGTAGATTAAATAATTCTTGTTGTACATATAGTGCACGGTGTGAACATTTACAATTTACCGCTTAGTATAAATAATGTATTATTTTGATTGTACACTGCATGGTATAAAAGTAATGGCGTCTATTTTGGCTGGGGGTGTCAGTTGATTAAAAGACACAATCTGCATAACTATATAAAATAAGTTTGTTGCCATGTTAGTAATGATTTTTAAACTGTAAAATATAGATATCAATTCGGCACACACACATTGCATAGCTTTCGATATTGTACAGTGTACACATTTTTGCAGGTACAATGTATGTGATAAATTTTGTATCTGTAATCAGAGACATGTGCAAAATATTGATTGGTATACCGCCTCTATGATGGTTTATTGTAATATTTTCCTGATTTAGTTTTGAATTAATTTGTTACTACTCGCGGTGAACAGGTTTGTTTTACAAATACTATACATTATAATGCTTTACTATATCGGATGTTCTATATTACTACTACTGCCTGGTATTACACATGTGTATCTTTGTTCTGAAAATAGAAGACTTACAGGGTTCTGTATCATGTGGTAATTTTGTCCCGAGTACAATCTGCTGTCTTATTTCATAGCCAATCACTAAACTCCTACATTCTCCAGATATTTATTGCACCATTGCATGATGGGTAAATGTTTGGCTCAGTTCTTTGTAGAAACAAGATGGCAACCGTGTGCATCACGATGTAATCCAACAGAACATCCTGTGGACCAGAAACTAACTAATATTATAACTGGCATATTTTATTGTGTTTTAGAATAACTATATTGTTAATATGAGGATTTCAACTGAAACATTAAATATATTTACAACAATTGTTCAGTTTCAGTGTCAATATTTTGATCTCAGATAATTCATTTCCAACATTACAGATACTGTCGTGTCTTTATCACCTTTGTAAATAGACAAATGAAGTGCGGTCACAGAATAATTTATACTATTGCTCAATTTATTTACAGATATTTACAAAAAATCATGTACATACAACAGCTGTTTGCAATTAATAAATAACTTCAACTAAAATTTTAACAGAAAAAAATTAAAACAATTCCGTTTTAAAAACACAAAAAAAAAATGTACTAGGTGTATTATGGTTGTTATCCACTGTAAATGAATGAAGTGTATTTCAATATGTTGTCTTCTATGATTTAAATCATGCGATGTTAAATTGCTAACCAATTTTAAAATCAAACAAGTTATCTAACAACTCGGAGTACATAAACGATTTTCTTACATACATAATTGCTATTATACTTGCGTGGTTCGCTCTTAGAAGCCTTAAATCAGGGAATTTAAATCAAAATATGACTCAACAACAAGTGTGGTGTACAACCAATCTTTAAGATTCATACTATCAGGATACCATAATAAAATGAAAAGTTATGGTCACCGAACGATGTTTCGAGTCGTAATTAGCATTTTTACACTGGTTTTCATGGTAGGATTATTTTGCTCGATGATGTGAATATCAAAATTAATTTAGCGAATTTCCGGGGAGGTAACAGTTTCCCCATTACATACAATGAGAGGTTGTCTCCCATAATGCATTGCATATCTGCAGTAACATGAATTTTAACTCTACGCAAACTGCCTTAAATTCTAATTTGAAAATGTCAATCTTACACTGCTTGTTGCAAGGTACTGACTAAATAATGTTGGTGAATAAACTGCAGCAAAATTTAGCCATGTATAACTGTTACAATATATAATGTCAATATTATATATGAAATGAAATCATTGATATGTTCATATACCAATCTACGTATAAGACGTATTTAAAACACGAAATGGCTACTAGTCGGCTATTTTGTATTGTATCGTTACAAAAAAAACCAAAAAACGATACATATTTGAACCATGATGTCAGTTTGGCTAGAAATTATCATGTGACTGTATTGACCAATCAGAGTGAATTATTATGCCATACCCATCTCTTACACGAATGATCTACAGCAAGTTGACGCCATAACTGTTGTAATACTCTGAACCGCTCTTTGCTGAGATACAGCGGTTTACCACGTCTGAAACAGAATTAAAATCAAAGTAAGCTTAGAAAGAACGCGTCTGAAAATATTTGAGACATATTGAAAATTAATTCAAAATGTAAGATTAGCCTTTTAAACAAGAAACTTAACAAATATCTTTTGTCTGCTACTTGAGATGTACAAAAATGTGATCCATAGTATTGATGTTTATAATACTCTGAGAAAATAAATTCGATTGTACATCTGTGTTTTCCTGTGCATTTTATTATTCCAGAGCATCTCTGCCACAAGTTCAATTTAAATATCAGTTTTTGGCTTATAAATATGCATGGTTTTCAACATGACTGGATTACCCAGGAGCATCTATGAACCAAATTTCAATCAAATGATTATGCATATTAGACAATTAATATGCTCGAATTTGAATCTAAATTTAATCAGGTCTTAGCATATATACCAAGTTTTATTGAAATAATGCAATAATTGGTTTTTGAGATATAGTTGGAAATTGGATGTTATGCAAATTAGGCAATTATTATGCATGATTTCAACCCAAAACCTCTGAGGTTTATGCATTGTCCCGGGGCACATACAGTGTATATACAATGTTTCATTAGAGAGTGATGATTAATTCATGAAAAAATCTTCACAAAATGAACAAATCTAAGAAAGGTCTATCCAAGGTACATGTACACCAAGTATCAAAGCATTCAGTCTTGTAGTTTTCAAGAAGAAGTCGAAAAGTAAATTAGCCAAATTTTAAGTCAATCTACTCAGAAGTTTAAAATATTTATTTTTTTACAGATACTTGCCATACCTTCTTACTGAATGACCAACTCACAGGTACATGTGGGTAATAATCAAAGTATTCATACAAACCAGGAAACAAGTACTGGATATAAATAATAATGCAAAAGAAGCACTGTTGAAAAAAAATGCCATAAAAGTTTTCAAAACTAGACAGTAATTTTGAGACTCACCTTAAATCTTTATCTTCTTCACCATGACTGTCTAAGTACAGTGATCCCCACAAACATGCCCTTTGACCCCGGACTATTATAACAGTAGAGGAATTAATTCCTTGGTAAAGAGCAGTCCCAGATCCACAGTTCATAGCGTGCTGCAAAACCAAGAATATAAAGAATAGCATACAAAGTAGGTTTCATCACAACTCAGTGTGGGAAGGTCTTAGAATATAGGGACACATGCAGTATTAGGAAGATATAGGGCATTTCATTGATAATTGCCATCATTTATGTGTATATAGCAAGTCAGAAGAAAATTTGGACTACGCACTGCTTAGCCTGACATGAAGGCATGAGTAGTGCCTTCGCCAGCCAAACGACATCAGGCCTTACTAACGCCTGACAGAATAGTGTATGTCTCGTTGCAAGATCAATACTGCGAATTCAAAAAGTTCACGCCTTCTTGCAATGAGTTTCAATGAATATTCATTTTGCCGGTACCTTATCACACATTATATCAACAAACAAATAAACTTACTGATGGCTGTCACTATCTGACGTTCCTGCAATTTGATTGCTACTGCCAACAAATTGTTGGGGGAAGTAAAAAAC